TCCTCCCGATGCGCCCACCCGGGTCACGGGGCAGGCATCGGGCACCGCCGGGACGACACCGGCGCCCGGAGCCACCGGGGACGGGCGGGGAGCGCTGGTGCCCGCGGGGATGGGCAGTGGCCTCGGGGCCGCGGGGAATACCCCGCCCGGGACAGCCCCGGGGGGTGACGCCACTCCCGGTGCCACCGGCGGGGCCCCTGAGGCCCCGGGGACTTTGTGAAGCGGGAAAGTCCCGTCGGGGCGGCGAGCGGGGCTGCGGGAGGAGAGTCCCCGTGGTTGCGGGGGTCCCCAGGGCTGGGGTTCCCCCTTGGGTGCCGGTTCCCGGTGGGCGCGGGGGTTCCCGGTGGGTGCGGGGGGTTCCCGGTGGGCGCGGGTCCCCCGCGCGGTCCCCGGCCCTCTGTCACGGACGGGGCGGTGGCCACCCTGCCGCGGTCACCGGCCCAGCCCGCCGGTGCCACCGCGTCCCCGGGACGTGGCTCGGCGGTGCCCCGTCCCCACCCCGTGCCACCGGTGCCATCGGGACCCCCAACACTGCGGGAGGGAACCCACCGGCGCCGGGCTCGCGGCGCGGGCCCTCCCGGTGGCCCCTCCGCGTCGCCGGCTTTGTTTGGCGGGGGAGACACACCGTGACCGGTGACACCGGTGCCCCCCGGTCCCCGCCGCCCGGCCCCGCCGTCCCGGTGGGGGCCGCCGCCAGCGGAAGCCGCGGCCAGGCAGGAAATGCCGTGTGGTCCCACGGGGCTCTGGAAGCCCGAAACCGGGGGGCATCGGGGGGGCACCGGGGGACACGGGCACCCCCGGCGTGGGCGCGTCCCGCCGGTGACCGAGCGGCTCCCGCCCGCGGCGCCGCTGCCCGTCCCGCATCCCACGCGGGGCGGATGCGGCCGCCGGTCCCCGCGGGGCCGGTGGCGGGGGGGACACGTCCTGCCGGGCGACATCGATGCCGGGGAGAGGCTCAGTTTGGAGGGTTGTTGCAAAACCCCCCCCCCTCACCTTCCAAAATGTCCCCCGCGCCCGTCGGCAGCGCCCGGTGCCGTCCCGGCTGCTGCCGGGGGTGGAAAACATTCCATCATGTGATGGAGCTCCGGCGGCCCCCGGACGGGAGGATCCGCCCCGGTGCCCCCCAGCCCCAGGATGCGCTCCGGCCCTGGTGCCGCCGTTCCCGGGGGGTTTCGGCCCCCAGGACAGCCGTGGGGGCTCCCGGTGGGGGCGGCGGCGGAGGAAGTGCCCGGCCGGGAGCGGCCGCGCTCCCACCACAAAGGCAGGAAACCGAGCGGCGGGAACGCCGGGGCGGGCGGCTGCGCTTCAAAGCCCCCCGGTGCCCCCCCGATGCCCCTGAGACCCCACCCGGGGTCTCCATATGTCCCTTCCTCCTCCGTCTCCGGGAGGGCCCCGGGATTTTGCCTGTGGCCCGGGGGGAATAAGCGGAGACCTGTGGGGAGGGGACGGTGCCCCTTTTGGGGGCAGTTTTGGGGGGCCCCGTGCTGGCGCTGACGTCCCCGTGGGCCCGCGGGACCCCTGCCCGGGGGTGTTCGGTCTCGCCCAGTCTCTGTATCCCGGTTTCCTGCGGCTCTGTGGGATCGGGATGAACAGGGGAGGGATAATTTTAGCTGCCACGGGGCGGGTGGAGCGGCGGCAGTGACCGGCTCCCGATAACGGGGCTGCCCGGACCTGCGTCACCGGGGTGACATCACTCACGGGGGGGTGGGTGGCATCGCCCACCGGGATGGCATCGTGTGCTGCGACGGCATCTCCCGCTGGGGTGGCACTGCCCCAATCCCGCGGCCATCCGGCATCCCCGGTGCCCCCTGGGACACTTCCCTTTGTGTCCCCTGTGCCACATCCCACACTGTGGGTCCCCCATGGGGTTTGCCGGTGTCCTGGTGAGCCAACACCAGTGCCTGGCCTTGTGCCCAGTGCCTCAGTGAACTGGGACCGATGCCAGGTCTCGTGCCCGGTGTCCTGGCGAGCCGTCACCAGTGCCAAGTCTCATGCCCGGTGTCCTGGTGAGCCGGCACTGGTGCCCGGCCTCGCCGCGGTCGGGAGCGGAGGCTGCGGTTGCCTCGCGGAAGCGGGTGCAGACAGGAAGGACACGTCGGGGACGGGGAGATTTGGTGCTGCCCGCAAGCTGGCACGTGGCCCTGTTGGCACTGCTGGCACTGCTGTCCCTGCTGTCCCCGTGCCGCATCTGTGCCCGCCGGTGCCGGTGACCCTGGCTGTGCCATGGGCCTGAGTGCCCTTAAGGGGGACCCTGGCTGTGTTGTGGGTGCTTTTTGGGTCTGGGTGCCCCCAGGGTGACACCTCCGCTCTGCCCCCAGAGCTCCATGAACCTGCCCCCAGACAAAGCCCGGCTCCTGCGCCAGTATGACAACGAGAAGAAGTGGGACCTCATCTGTGACCAGGTGGGGGCTGAAGGGTCCCAGGCATCCTGGGGGGGGGTCTGGGTGAGCTGTGCTGCTGTCCCAGTGTCACCAACACCCCCCCCTTGTCCCCTCCAGGAGCGGTTCCAGGTGAAGAGCCCCCCCCACGCCTACATCCAGAAACTGCGCAGCTTCCTGGAGCCAGGTGTCACACGGAAGGTGAGGGACTGGGGGGGCCTGGGAGGGGCCCGAGGGTCTGGGGGGGCTCTGAGGGGGGCACAGCTCAGCCTTGCTCTGCCCCCAGAAGTTCAGGAGGAGGGTTCAGGAGTCGACCAAAGTGCTGCGTGAGCTGGAGATCAGCCTGAGGACGAACCACATCGGGTGAGTGGGGGGTCCCAGGGAGGGGCTGTGGGGTCCTGATGTGGGGGCCGGGGGGGGTGTAGAGTCCCAGGTGGGGTGCAGGGTCCCAGGGTGGGGTGCAGGGACGCGGGGGGGGGCTCTGGGGTCCTGTCACCAGCCCCGCACAGCTGCAGGGGAAGCCGGAGGCGCTGCAGGAACTGGGCCGGTTCCTGCCCCGTCCCGCGGGCAGCTCCCGGGGGCGGATGCCGGGGCGGATGGGCCGGGGATGACGCCCTGGACGAGGCAGCGTGGCCGGATCCCGCCTGGCTCCTCCTGGCACCTCAGGGCTCGGTCGGCAGCGTCCCCGAGCCGGTGACACCCCGATCCTCCCCAGGATGCCCCCGGGGGCAGCGCGGGGCGGCGGGAGGGACGGGGCGGGTCCCGGGGGGTGTCGGGGCCCGTCAGAGGCGGGTGCCCGGTCGTGCCCGCGTGCCCGGGGCGGCTCGTGCACGTGCCGGGCTCTTCCCCGCCGCCGGCCCCGCTCGTCCCTGCCCACGGACCCAAAATAGCAGCAGCCGGAGACAGGAAACGGGCTGGGGCGAGGGGGCTGGCGGCGGCAGGAAAGGGGCAGCTGCGGCCCCCCCCACCCCGGCTCCCAGGACCGTAGGCAGGCGTGGGGGGACCCCCGGCGCTCCTGGGTGAAGCCCCCCACCCCGCGCACCCCACTCCGTGCACCCCCAACCCCTTCCCCACCCCTCCTTGCCCCTGGGCACAGCACCTCAACATGTGAACCCCAACACCCTCCGCCCAGGAGTCGGGGCACCCCGAAGCCCCCCCCAACGGGGGGTTCCCAGGGTGTGGGTGCAGCAGCCCCAGCGCCCACCTCTGTTTCCCGCCCGCGCCGAGCCCTCCCCGCCCTGCAGCCCGCAGATAACCCCTGTACCGGCGCTGGCACCGGCGATAGCACAGAGGCTGCAACTGCCACGGCAGCCTCGGGGTGCCCCCGCTCCCCCCTCACCATCCCTGTGGTGGAGGGGGTCGTGCCGGGGGGGTGGGTCCCGACCCCTGCGGGCCCTGATGGGTTCCCGGTGCCGCAGGTGGGTGCGGGAGTTCCTCAACGACGAGAACAAGGGGCTGGACGTGCTGGTGAACTACCTGTCCTTCGCCCAGTGCGCCGTCATGTGAGTGGGGTCGGGGGGGCCCTGATGGATGGGAGGGGTCCCGGTCCCTGTAGCAGCTCCCTGCTGTGGGAGGCCGATGCCGGTTGGTCCCTTTTCATCCCTGGGACACCACAGGGGGACCCACTTGCCGTGAGGTCCCAAGGGATGCTCAGCCCCCTCCTGCCCACCCTGAGGGTCCCAGAGCCACCTTCGCGCCTGTCCCTGCCCCGCTGCCCCCCCGCCTCAGCGCTTGCCTCTGTGTGCCCCCTTGCCAAAGCCGTGTGCCCCCTTGCCAAAGCCGTGTGCCCCCTTGCCAAAGCCTCGTGCCCCCCCCGCCTCCCGCTGCACGCATATCCCACCCCACCCCTCCAGGTTGGATTTTGAGGGCCTGGAAGGCGGCGAGGACGGCGCGCTGGAGAAGCTGCGCGCCTGGAGCAGGTCCATCGAGGATCTGCAGCACCCCAGCGCCCTGCCCGCCCCCTTCGCCAGCAGCCTGGCCCGCTCGGCCCGCCAGACCGCCCTACGGTACGTACCCGGGGGGACACCACCCATGCCAGGGGGGCACGTCCCGCCGGGGGGGGCACGTCCTGCTGTGGGGGCACGTCCTGCCGGAGGGCTCTGGCTGGCCATGGTGCTGCCGCTTGCTGCGTGCTGTGCCACGTGCTGGTGTGCCACGGTGTGTGCCGGTGTGGTGTGCCACGTGCCGGTGTGCCACGGCATGTCCCAGCGTGTGCTGTACCATGTGCTGCTGTGCCACTGTGTGTGCCGGTGTGCTGTGCCATGTGCTGCTGTGCCACTGTGTGTGCCGGTGTGCTGTGCCATGTGCCGGTGTGCCACGGCGCGTCCCGGTGTGCCGCAGCGTGTGCCGTGCCAAGCGCCGTCCTGCTGTGGCGTGTGCCATCGTGCCCCGCACCATGTGCCCAGAGCTCGGGCCGTGCCTCGCCCACACGACCTGGCCGTGCCGTGCCACGTGTGCCACGTGTGCCGCGTGTGCCGCGTCCCGCGCTGCCTCGCGCGTCCCGTCCCGCCCGCGCTCCGCCCGCCCTCCCCGCTCTGGCTCTGCCCCCCCCGTGCCCCCGTTACCCCCGGGGTAACGCGCCCCCATCTCTGCTTCCAGGGCCGGGTGCCCCCTCTCTGGCTGTGCTCTCTCTCTCTCTCCTCCGCGCCCACCTCGCCGCTCGCTCGCCCGCCCGCCGGGTAAGTACCGGCGTCCCGGGGCCGGCCCGGCGCTCGCGGCGGCTCCGCGTCTGCAGCCTCTGTCCCTCTCGCCCTCTTCTCTCTGCCTCTGCCCCTCCTAAAGCCCTGCTGTCCCCACGCTGTCCCCGCCCTGTCCCCACCCCGTCCCTCGGTGAGCGCTGGCGGTGCAGCACCGCGGGCGAGGGTCCCGCTCACCGCGTGTCCCGTGTCCCCCCCCCCCAGCTACGGGACCCTGCCCAGCCGCCGGGCGCTGAAGAACTCGCGCCTGGTGAGCCAGAAGGACGATGTCCACCTCTGCATCATGTGTCTCCGGGCCATCATGAACTACCAGGTACTGTCACCCCGCGGCGGGGACGCTGCTGTCACTGCAGTCGCCGCTGTCGCCGCGGCTGACGCTGTCCCTGCTCCGTCCCCCCAGTATGGCTTCAACCTGGTCATGTCCCATCCTCACGCTGTCAACGAGATCGCCCTGAGCCTCAATAACAAGAACCCGAGGTAAGGGGGGGGTCTGGCGGGATGGGGGTCCCGGTGCTGGCCGGGGGTGATGGTGATGGTGATGCTGTGCCCAGGATGAAGGCGCTGGTGCTGGAGCTGCTGGCGGCCGTGTGTCTGGTCAGGGGGGGCCACGAGATCATCCTGGCGGCCTTCGACAACTTCAAGGAGGTATGAGGGGAATGGGAGCGGCAGGACCAGGCTGGGATGGGGGGGACTGGGGGGAGACAGGACCAGGCTGGGATGGGGGCACCAGAATTAGGCTGGGACTGGGGAGCAGGACCCGGGGAATGGAGGAATGGGCGACCCCAGGAGAAGGCTGGGATGGGGAGCCTGGAGCACGTGGGATGGGGGGATCAGAAGGGTTGGGGGGCACCAGGACCAGACTGGGATTAGGAAACTGGAGACAGGGGGGAGACCAAGCCAGGGTAACCCTGTGTCCGCTGCCTGCTCAGGTGTGCAAGGAGAAGCATCGCTTCGAGCGGCTCATGGAATATTTCCGCAACGAGGACAGCAGCATCGACTTCATGGTGGGACACCCTGTCCTGGGCGAGGGGGAGGGTCTTTGTGGGGGCTCCCAGTGACCCCAGGTGACCCCTCTGCCCGCAGGTGGCCTGCATGCAGTTCATCAACATCGTGGTGCACTCGGTGGAGGACATGAACTTCCGCGTCCACCTCCAGTACGAGTTCACCAAGCTGGGGCTGGAGGAGTTCCTGCAGGTACGGGGGGGGTTTGGGGCTCTGGGGGGGGGTCACCCCATGGGGTCCTCACATCCCTGACACCCCCATGCCCGCAGAAGTCGAGGCACACGGAGAGCGAGAAGCTGCAGGTGCAGATCCAGGCGTACCTGGACAACGTTTTTGACGTGGGGGGGCTGCTGGAGGACGCCGAGACCAAGAACGTGGCTCTGGAGAAGGTGGAGGAGCTGGAGGAACACCTGTCCCACGTACGTGAGCGCGGGGGGGGGACGCAGGGACCTTGTGGGGTCCCCGGGAGGGGGGGGTCAGTGGTGACACCTGGGGGGTCCCTGAGGGGGTGTCACAGCAGTGTCCACCCCCCCCAGCTAACGGAGAAGCTGCTGGACCTGGAGAACGAGAACATGATGCGGGTGGCGGAGCTGGAGAAGCAGCTGCTGCAGCGGGAGAAGGAGCTGGAGGTGGTCAAAGTGCGTCGGGGGCCACGGGGGGGGCTGTGGGGAGCGGGGAGGGGTCCCGACCCCCCCAACCTGGTGCTTGCTGTCCCCAGGAGACCTACGAGCACACGAGCCACCAGGTGCACACGCTGCGGCGGATGATCAAGGAGAAGGACGAGGCTTTCCGGCGCCGCTACGGCTCCGAGCCTCCCCCCGTGCCCGGCGCGGAGACCCCCCCCCAGCCCGAGCCCGAGCCCCTGGAGGAGACCCTGCGGCTCCCAGTCCTGCCCCCCGTGGAGGCCGCGCCCCCTCCACCCCCCCCGCCGCCCCCCCTCCCGCCCCCCGCGCCCCCACTCCCAGGTGAGGAGGGGGAGCCCTAAGGGGAAACCCCCAAAATGGGGACATCCCAGAGCTGGGCTGTCCCCAAGGGGTGGGAGGGGGGAGCTCTTAAAGTGGGGTGTCCCTCGTGCTGGGCTGCTCCAGAGGGTTGGGGGGGGTCCCCAGGATTGGGGTCTCACCATCTCGTGGCTTCACAGGGAAGTGCCCCCC